AAAAAAAAAAAAGAAAAACAAAGATGATGATGAATCAAAAACATCATCTTGTCATATAAAGCATATACCCCGTTGTTAAAAATTGGCTAATGATTTCCTATTTCCGTGTGAAAAATGGGAAAATAGCATAGAGGTATCAGATGACCAGACCTCATAGCATCATGGGAAGTACGGGGACATGCAACCTGAGAAGACTCTCATTCTGTTGCCACAAGGCAGCAGCACAGCCACTATGAGCCTCACATTTCTCATCTGGAAGACAGCTGTAATATCCACCTTATAGTGTTGCGGTAAGAACTGAAGGAAAACACGGAAGTAAATGGACAGTGCTGCTGAACAGTTTATTCCTAAATCAAAAGCAATGTCAGAACAAGGCACATCTTTTGCTTCCTAGTTTAGTGTTCCGGGTCCCTAACCTGCTGCTTCTACAATCAACTAAAATCATTTCTCTGGTCTGAAGTTTTCAGCAGTTATTATCCTCACGATGGAAGCCACTTGTAACATCAGTGCCTGCAAAAAGGAAATCTAACTAGAAGAGAGGATGATCATCATTAAGAAATCAGACAAGGGGTTCGGCACCTGTGGCTCAAGTGGCTAAGGCGCCAGCCACACACACCTAAGGTGGTGGGTTTGAATCCAGCCCGGGCCCGCCAAACAACAATGATGGCTGCAACCGAAAAAAATAGCCAGGCATTGTGGCGGGTGCCTGTGGTCCCAGCTACTTGGGAGGCGGAGGCAAGAGTCTTGCTTGAGCCCAGGAGTTGGAGGTTGCTGTGAGCTGTGATACCACCGTACTCTACCCAGGGGGACAGCTTGAGGCTCTGTCTCAACAACAACAAAAAAAGAAATCAGACAAGGGCCAGGCATGGTGGTTCTTGCCTATAATTCTAGCACTCAGAGGCCGAGGTGGGTGGATTGCCTGAGCTCATACGTTTGAGACCAGGAGACCTCGTCTCTATAACTAGGTGGGCATTGTGGCAGGCACCTGTAGTCCCAGCTACTTGGGAGGCTAAGGCAAGAGAGAATTGCTTAAGCCCAAGAATCTGAGTTTGCTGTGAACTGTGATATCACGGCACTCTACCCAAGGCAACAAAATGAGACTCTATCTCAAAAAAAAAAAAAGAAAGAAATCAGAGAAGGCTGAGGAGGCAACAGTGGTGCTGGTAAGAGTTATGTAGGTGGACAGACCAGAATGAGTAGCTTCACTGCTTCTAGTGACTCCATGGGCTACAGATTTTCTTCTGTAAACAAGTGTAAACACCTAATGCACAGGCTAACATGCGGGCCAGACAAGTTGGTATGGCAGCACCAAGCACAGTGCCACACATACAGGAAGCAACCAGCGTGTGCCAAGGCTTTCTTCCACCAGAAGAGTAGCTGCTTCCATTAAGCAGGTTTCAGGAGTGAGATCCAGACTTCTCTAATGAAAGAGCCTAAGCAGCTCAATCTCTTATAGGCAGGTAAAAAGGAGACAGTCTCACTCAAAGTTACCAAGGGAAGTGAACAGTGTTCCCATACCTGTAAAGGCCTTAAACCAGACGAATCCTCCTTTTATTTTTAGGAGAGGAAGTAGAGTGGCAAACAGTAGAGTATTGAGAAGAGGACAGTGCACGAAACTTCAATAGCATTTACCTTTCAGTATTCCATTCTTATGGTCCCTTTTACCTACTTCGATTTTTTCAAAATGTGAAGGAGAGATTTCCCTTTCATACAAACATTCAAAACAGGGCGATTCGGGCACACATCATTCTAATAAAAGGTAAATATGAGAAAGATCTTTTATAATCTTTAGCTTCTCTCTATCCCATCCTTCATCCCGAGAAGTAAAACAGTTAACTCTCGCCTTGCAAAGAACCCCTGGTTTGTCCATGGGATGAGTTCTCACCACTATTAGCCACAATAACAAAACCATCCCAGTAAACATAATTCTCACACTCCTCTTTTCTACCAGTTGAATGCTATATATTAAGTGCCCAGCCTCCCTTTTCCTTCACCGGGTAAACCCTACAGGAAAATGTGGCTATTTTCAGAAGCCATCATTTCTTTTCTTTCTTTCTTTTTTTGAGACAGGAGCCTCAAGCTGTCCCCCTGGGTAGAGTGCCATGGCATTTCAGCTCAAGCAACCTCCAACTCCTGGGCTCAAGCGAGTCTCCTGTCTCAGCCTCCCAAGTAGCTGGGATCACAGGCACCCGCCACAACGCCCGGCTGGACTGGATTTGAACCCACCACCTTAGGTATATGTGGCTGGCTCCTTAGCCACTTGAGCCACAGGCACCGAGCCCTCCCCCCCCCCCACACTTCTTTATAAAGAACTTAAGTTGCTCTTCTCTCAAATGAGTTGTCAGCTGGACCTATTGGACCCTGCTACATGTCAGAACATGCAGAAGCCCCTTAAATGCTCATCTTGTCTGAGATGGCT